ATACTTGTTGTTGTTGTTGTTGTTGATGATGAGCACTGAGCAAACTTTTATTACTGAGCAACAATTAGCTAATTATGAAGAACAAAACAAGAAAGCCAATAAGGCTGGCTGCAGCTGCTTAAAACCTGAAACCATATGAAATTAGCACTTACCAACTTGGTTGTATGAGCATTAACTATGATTGTAGTTAGGCTACTAAGTATAACATACCGTCATTAACCAAAATGCATCTTGAGCTCATGTTTAACAAACATGTATTTAGTATTATAAGTAGTATTCATCAAAATACGACATCAACATACATATAATTGATTAAAGCTCGTCTTCATTACTCAATAGCCACTTGTTGAGTTAATCATTTTTTTGGGGCTGAAACATTTAGGCCAATTAAGGCAGACTCACACATACATCGCATATACAAGACTCGAACCCAAGGTCTCTTAATTAGTAACCTAGGCTCCCAACCAATAAACCAAGATGAGTTGTGTTTGAGCTAATCATCTCATTAGGTATTGGAACAATTAGCACTTTTACAAATCATGCTACATATGAATGAATAAATGCGGTAGCCAAGAGTATCTTTTATTAATTCACCCTAAAAATAAATGAAAAAAAAAAACTTGTTTAACTAAAATATTGAATGTTACAGTTGGTACACATGAATATTAAAGTTGAGAACGAAACCAATTCAAAGTTCATGCAATTGCGTTCTCAGTTTAAGGAGGAAGTGCGTTTCTATAGTTATCAAGAACTTATCCACCTGTGTTAAATACATATTCAGAGGCAAATGTGGTCATGGGAACAGTAAGAAGATCCTTGGAGAGTTTGGATAATATGGAAAACTTCTAATTATGCTCATTTTCCACCATTCTAAGATGTGAAATTGTCCCTTTATCTGTTGGAGGCTGTGTGGAGTTTCTTTTAAGCATGTCTCGGATTCAGATTTCAATGTTTACCTTGAACAAGCATGACTGAGGAAATATTCAAAACTTGTAAAGACAGAACTATCCCCACAGACTTATGGTGTGCTGAAGCAGGTGGTTGAACTTAAGAAGAGTTTGAGACACTGAATATTGTGATTTTAAAAAGATTTTGAGATCACTTCCTTCGTTTTTTTTTTATTAACTGCTTTGCTGTGATAAATCTTCTTAAAAGCATACTGAATGAACATTAATTTTCGACTTGGATTTGGAATGATTGCAGTGATCATCACCAGGTTGCTTTCAGACCAATACTTAACAAACTTTTCCTTTCTGAATGGTGACATAGCCTAACAAACTAATCCTCTCTCTTGAGGCTTTCATCTACTTTCTTGATATCTACTAACCGGAGAAGGAATAAGTGGAGTTCAGATGGCTTGAACTAGAAACAAGTGTTGCACTATCATTAACCTGCAAAATGCTTCTAATTTTGGAGAGCCTATCTGAATCATCATTATCATCATCAAGACTCCAGGACAAACCTGTCTTTTCAACAACAACAACAACATCAAGCCTTTATCCCACTACGTGGGGTCGGCTACATAAATCCTTTTTCTCCATTGTGTCCTATTAAAAGTCAAATTCTCGTTTAAATCTAATAAAGAAAGGTCATTCCTAATACTTTTCTAACCAATTCTTTAGGTCTACCTCTACCTTTCTTAACATAAGTCAAATCTATTACCTCTACCTCCTAACTGGGTGTCATCAGAAGTCCGCCATTTTATGTGACCAAACCATCTAAGACGACTCTCTCTAATCTTATCTTCTACTGGAGCTACTCCAACCTTTTCACGTATATGCTCATTTCGTATCCTATCTCTAAGGGTAACGTCACTCATCCACCTGAGCATCCTCATCTCTGCCACACTTAACTTAGTATTATGCTTCTCTTTTAATGGCCAACATTCGACGCCATAAAACATTGCAGGCCCCCCTACCATCTTATAGAATTTTCCCTTAAGTTTTGAGGGGTACTTTTCTATCACATAACAAGCTCGATGCATTCCTCCACTTCAACCATCCAACTTGAATTCCGTTTGAAAATATCCCCATCTATTTCACCATCACTCTAAACAATAGATCCAAGATATCTAAAACGTGTACTCTTATTAATAACTTGATCACCCAAAGTCACAAACCCCTCACTAGGCCCATTACTACTAAAATTACACTCCATATATTTCGTTTTAGATCTACTCAAGCAAAAACCCTTGAGACTCTAAAGTTGACCTCCATTAATTCAAAGTTTAACCTTCAACTCTCTCTAGTCTTATCAAACAAGAAGAATAATCAATCAACAAAAAGCATTACACCAAGGTACATCCTCTTGCAAATGTCTAGTGAGAACATCCATGACTAAAGCAAAAAGACATGGGCTTAAGGCTGATCCCAACCGAAATAGGGAAATACTTGGTTAAACCACCTTGTGTTTGAACTCAAGTAATAGCTCTTGCATACATATCTTTAATGATTTGGATATAAGCATTATTGACTCCTTTCTTTTCAAGAACTCTCCATAGCACTTCCCTTGGAACTTTATCATATGTTTTTTCTAAATCAATAAATATCATATGTAGATCCTCCTTATTTTCTCTATATTTCTCCATCAAACCTCGTAATAAATATATGGCTTCCATAGTTGACCTAACCGGCATGAATCCAAATTGATTTTGAGAAACATTAGTATCATGCAACAACCTATGCTCCATAACTCGCTCCCATAATTTTAAAGTATGACACATTAACTTAATACCTCTATAATTCGCACAATCTTGTGCATCACTTTTATTCTTAAAAATAGGAATTAAAACACTCATTCTCCACTCATCTGGCATCTTTTTAGTCTTCAAAATATTATTAAAAAGTTTAGTAAGCCAAGAAATTCCTTCATCTCCTAAGCATTTCCACACCTCTATTGGAATATCATCAGGTCCAACAGCTTTTCCACCCTTCATTTTCTTTAAAGCCTCTCTAACTTCAGTTTTACTAATACGCCGATAAAAATATAAATCTTTATTTTCATTTAGGGTGCTAAGGTCACTATAGTGAATCTTATTTTCACAATCTTCATTAAAAAGTTTAGCAAAATATCTCAACCACTTTTATTGAATGTCATCTTCTAAGAAAAGCATTTTTTTTATCTTCATCCTTAATACACTTCACTTGAACTAAATCCTTATTACTCATATCTCTTTGTTTTGCTAACTTATACATATATCTTTCTCTCTCCTTAGTATCTGTTTCATTTCAGTTTTTTTTTTTTGAAAGACAGGTTTTTATGGATGCAAACCCAAGAAAATACTCTTAGTTGCTATGATGTGAAAAGAAATAACAAGATACAATCAATCCTCTATTCGAGACTCGAGAGGAGGATCAATCTTTCCAAAACTCTATACGCCGCTAGAGCCCAAGACACAAAAGAAAACTCAGAAATTAGCCACCAAAAAGATGCCCTAACCCTAATACAAACTCCTACTTAAAGCAAACACAAAATTCACACCAAAGGACTAAACAGCCCTCAAGCAAATAGCTCTAGCAAGTGGACCCCACCCCTACGGGGGCGGCTAAGCAGCTTGCGAACCAGCAGGCTAGCGCTTGTTGTACTGCAGTAGCCTGCTCACAGGTTGGGCCAACTGGACCGGTCCAAGCATATCAAAAACCTGCCTTAATTAAAAAGGACGATCAAGATGTGGCAAGTAGAATTTCAGCAGGTTTTGATATCAGAATGAAGACACTGAGATGTAGATAATCACAGTAGCTCTGCACATTCACATAAGGCTTCTAGATAATCAAGTCTTCTTGATATAAGCTACCCTTTCTTGGACAACACAAATAATATTATCATGTACTTCTGCCTTTCTCGTACCAAATGTTTTAATACATGAGCATGTCATCTAACATGAAAGAATTTTCCTTTAAATTAAAATATATTAGTATTCTTTAGGCTTCTCTTCAAGGTTTTTGCTGCGCTATCATATATCCTTGACGTATTTGAATTCCAACAATTGCATGTCTATACAACTTTGTCAACATCTTTTATTACCTGCAACTTATTTCTTTCAAATATATGCATTTTCATGCTATCATTCTTAATTGTATGCCTAAAAACTTTTTGATGACTACTAATTGATGCCTTACAATACATGTTGAAGTATGGATTCTCTTCCTACTATATGCACTTTCATGTAATCATTCGTAATTGCATGCTTATAAATTTTTAGGACGGCTGCTATTTAATATCTTGCAATACATGTTGAGATATGGACGCTCAACTATAAAGTAAGCAATTCAACAGTGATTATGAACTTTGTCAAAAATAAGTCTTAACTATTTATAAATCATAGCCTCTAGAAACACATTAGTTTAACAAGTTATCCTCAACCGCATAGTTTTCTTTTTCAGAATTGAAAAGTTTTTTTTTTTTGTTCGGTCGACATACAGCACATTTTGATATGGGGAAAAATTCATAGACATTCAATTTTGATAGTTGTAATTTTTTTTTCTCTTGCAATGCTGGCACTGCCATTTTTAATCTCATTTCCTCTTTTTTTAATACATTACTGTCACTATGAGGAAATTATGTCAAGTCTCGCTTCTCTTTCTTTTGCCCTTATTCTCCCATTTTGGTGCTGCAATGCCCCCAATATCTACTATAGTAGTGGCTGGCTTTCTTAGGAAATGCTCTAACATATTGGGTAAATTCAACCCTTTGATTTCCACAATGGGTCACAACAAACAAGCTTTTTAAGTGCTTAGAAATAGCTCTGTGAGTAGACTTTTAGGTATGATTTGGCTTATAGGGATGCATGTTTGTTGTTGCCTTGGTTTAACGATGTTGTGATATCTCTACCTACTGCAAGTTTGCTTTACAAATTCTGATTTATTTTGATCATTGAAATTTTGAAGCTATTGATCCAATATGATTTTGTGTGACAATTTTTAATGTCTGTTGTGAAGATGAAAATTTCTATATCTTTATCACCCAAACTATCCTTTTGAACTGATATTTCATTTCAAAAGCAGGAATTACAAAAAAAATTGGCTTGCCAGCTAGGCAAATTCAAACATGAAAGGAAAATCATCGTGCTTCAGGATCCATCCTTGAGGTGCTGGCCAGTTTTGTATCACCAGAGCAACAAATATATAGGCTTCATTGGTGGTTGGGTGGATTTTGCCAAGGGAAATAACATTTGTGGAGGAGATATCTGCGAGTTTGAACTTATTAACAAGATGGAACTTAAATTTAGAGTGCATATCACGAAAGCAGAAAGATCCAATCTTTGCTGAAAAAGTAGAATAAACTTGATCAGATTTCATGACGCATCTTCTACTTATCAGAAACAGCTTAGATGGTACACTCTCAACACCCCCATATTGCCCAGCATAGTAATGTTGTCAAGCAGATTATAATCTGTGTTTCTTTACCATGCACATTTAAGTTGTTAGGTTTCTGAATGCAATTTTTACATTTTAAGTGATAGCTTTTGGTAAGCTAATGTGAAGTTCAGATGTTCCAGTTTATTATTTTTTCTAATAGAGTGCTTATTAGTTGTACTAATGGATGCTCTGTTGTTGATTTTAGCCTTGAGATTGCTTGTTCTGAATCTTTTCTGATAAGCATGGTTATTACTTGCTAGAACTGTGGAATCTCATTTGATATAAGCAAGAGCAGGGTTTGTTTGGTTATTTTTTGTTAATTTTTGGCCTGATTTAATCATAGTTTTGTCCTCTTCATGTAAATTTCTAAATTTATTTTGCAATTTCTAAGAAAAGTTCAATTGTTTATAGTTTTATTATGTACTGTAATATATTATTTAATTATTTAAATGTATTCATGAACTTAACGTGTGTGCATATGAAAGAAACAATATAATTATAAAAGAGTAATAGTTTTAATGGCTTGAAAGTCTGATTGTCTGATAAGAATAATAGTTTAGCTATTTCTCTTGGAAAAAGTCACTTCCTATTTCTATCATCAACTGAGTAGTTGAATTGGTCTAACTTTCATAAACTTCTCTCTTCCTATTTCTGACTTGTAAGCAAATGACCCTGCGAGTAACTTGAGATTCATTATGTGCTTTCTAAAATATTTCTATAATGTTTTCAAGTCATATGGTTATTTTATTAAATAGCATGAATGTTGTTGAAGGAATAATTACATATGAGGAAAGATTGTTCCTTGCCTAGGTGAATGGTTGAATGCTATAGAGAATGCATCATGGGCAAAGAATTGATAGATACACATTTGAGCTAATGAGTTGTCTAGTAAATGCCTATCATTTTTAGGATAAATTATTCTGTGCGGATACAAATATCGTCCAGAGGCGAATCAGAACGTTCCATATCACTTTTTTGTTCTGTACTATTGTGATATGACGTATTCTGATTTATCTCCAGACGGTCCGGTGTCCGCACAAAATAATTTCTCCATTCTTAAAACTTGATCCTTATATATCATTATTATTATTGTTTTAAGATTTATGAAATAATGATGCTACAAGGATGATGACATTAAAGTCAATGTCATCGCAAGTTAGTTTATAATTGATAAATGATCATTGAAAAGATGATGATTAGATCAGTGGTTTAGATTTGTTATGGTTAGGGTAGAAATTATGTTAATGCTATTCCCTTGTTTCAAATTTATAATTTAGAATGGATGGTTGAGATTGAATTCAACAAGATCTTAGTGGTTTCAAATAAAAGACTGAATAATTTAATCCCATTGATTTAAATTGAATTGTAAGTTGAATTTGAGAAAGTACATGTTGATATTGGGGAAATACGTAGGCAACTAGATTGTGAGGACAATGAGATATGAGTTGATTGTGCTAGATATAACTTATACCAATTAACTTAATAATTTCTTGAATGACAACATTTGCATTCAAATATTTAAAATTTTTAAGTAGATAATCAGGAGGTTCGTTATTTTTAAATTTAATTAATAAATTTAAGAACTTAATATTTATATGAACCTATAAATGAAAAGTTATATGAACATTTAAAATTTTAATTATATTGTTCAGTGTTGTTGCAATTCGAGATCCCGTGTTTGTGATTTTGATGCTAACAAACATTAGTGATTGTACTTAAATTTCTCATACCATTTTGTATTACATATATACACTATGAAAGAATATTCGGGGCTCAAATTTGGGTAGAATAAGAACATGGTTGATAAGAGTTTACATTTCTTATTTATTTATTTGTAAATTTTATCAGTTGAATATGCTATTTTGGCAATCGTGCACACACACAAGGGAGTGAAAATAAGCTTTAAAATTTTTTGAACTAATCGTAATGTACGATCTAGAACGTATTGTATGATCCATTTAAAATAGAAATCCTAACCGCCAATCAAAATTAAATAAGTATTTTAATTTTTAATTTTTGAACTAATCGTGTAGTATGATGACATACGTAAAGTACGATGTTTGAAAACTTAATTAAATCTCCATGATTAGTCAATCAAATTAAGGTTTTGTTAATTTGGTATATTGCACTGCATGATGTTAATCATACCGTACGATATGCAGAGATGAAAATCGATCGTTTCGACGATCGTACTGGACGAAGCCTTAATTTTTGAATCAGTCTTATGGTATAATGTTAATCGTACTGTGGACGATATGCAGAGATCATTTTCAATCGTCCTAAAAATCATCTTGTACGATCACAAGACAATTGAACTAATCGTATTATACGATTAGTATACAATTTTTTGAATAGTTCATCTTGGGACTGTTCCATCGTACTAGATGTTATATGGTTTTTGAACTAATCATACATTACAATCCTCAATCATATTGTATGAATAATTTCGGTTGAATTGAAATTTTAAGGTTTTAGAGACCTTATATAAAGAGCTTTTCTTAGTTGTCTCTAAGAGAGACTTTTGGCTGTTGAAGGAATTCCGGGGGAGAGCTATTAGAGATCTTGGAGAGTGGAGAAGGAGAATGTGAGTTTTGTGAGAGGGAGAAGAAGTGTGAGTGTTTTCACATGATCACTCAAAGCAAGCTTGCATCTTGATTCCTCTACAGGGCTCTGTGGATCTGCTGGGGTTGCTATGGGAGAAATGCTTCAAGGTCAAAGGTCGAGGTTCTCTGCCTTCATTAGGAGGGTGCAAAATGATTGCAAGGTACTCTGCTTTCACCAAGAAGTTAAAAAAGCTTTTATGTTCGCTTCCTTTATAAGAAGGGTGAAAAGAACTTCCAATGTTCTTTGCCTCCTTAGGAGGCTGAAAATGATTCTGGTTCTCCTTTGCACCGGGTTAGTGGAAATGATTATTGTAAGGGCTTCTCTCATTTTACTGTGCGGGCTAAAGGAGAGACATTAAGAGTTAGTGTAATACCTGGAGAGGAGATTTTGGAAAATGGACGTAGATGATTATTTGATCAAACTACTATAAAATTATGGTGTACTTGTTCTAATTTTATTTTCTTCACTCTACTTTTTTACAATTTATTTTCTTGGAAAATGCATGCTGAAAATATTGTGATTGATATTAAATTAATCTAATTAAATTACCATAATAATTGTGATTGTTGTTATTTTTACTAGCTTCTACATTGAACATTCAAGTGTCTGTGTGAAAGAGAGAGAGAGAGAGTCATAGTATGGATGAAACTCACATACAATTAAAAATAAAATCAACTTGATTAGAGGGAGGAATATGACTTTTTTTAATGAAAAAAAAAAAGAAATAAAAAAATTACAAGTTTTTGCATAGTTGAAAATCACTTGATAAGTTCATTTTTCCTTTTTTTTGGACATTTTGGCCAATTATCACAAACTCAAACGCACAACACATGCACAAGATTTGAACTCAAAATCTCTTAGTTGATAGACAAAACTTCCATCCAACAAATCAAAATTAGCTGTGTATTATTCCTTAATTTGAAGTGGAGATATGCCAGCTCAAATATACTAAGAAGGGGGCACTAGAAAGCTACAGAAGCCACGAAATATGGATAAAGTTTTTTCTCCGTTGTAGGTGGTGGCAAAGAGTCTTGAACTGTTATTATAAATAACAACAAAAAAGGGTCAAGATAATTCTTTATCGAAAGGGGGAGTGAATTACTAAATCTAGCAACAGATCAAAGCCACCTTGAGTTAGCATATGATACATAGATGATTAGGATAGCCTTTATATTAGAAAGATGGTGGACTATATGATTGGGATCAACAATTAAAGGCCACAAACAATCAAAACTAATATGATCCAGCCTGAACGAGGATAGATTAAATGTCAAAGTATTGACTAGCACGGACGAAAAAAGGCTTGACATGTTCTAGATAAAATAAAAATATTTATCATGTTACTCTCATTAATAAAGTGTAAGAGTTGTTGTCCAAAATAAATAAATAAAAGGCTTGCAATCTATCATAATTATAGTTGATTTGGAGTTAGGGGCTAAAACTAATTTACTTGTAAGGCTAAGTGCCCCTATCTTCATAGCAATTTTTACATTAAATTTTTGGATCATTTGTATATATATATCTTAATTTAATTGATACAATTTTATAAAAATATTATCAATTTTTTAAATAATAATTTTATTAGCGTTTAAAGTTTATAGATGGTATGAATGGTAGAAATGAACTATAAGAGTGATATATTTGATATTAAAGTTTTATATGAGTGGTAGGCATGTAATATTAATGTTTTAGATGTTAGATATATAAATGACATGAAATAAAGTGATATGTGTGTAAATTTCCCTAATTATAATGGCTACCTTTATATTTTTTTTATATGTGTATATATTTATCAATCATTCAATCTAACCTGTTCTAATTTCCTTCAAATCTAAGAGCGCAGAGATCAAATGGACGGTCGATGATGGCGTTCGCATGGTTTCTTGTGATGCGTATGCTTAGCGCTTTCTCGGTTCTTCCTCAACAATGCCGTAATTAAAAAAATATATATTAAAAAGCCGAAATACGGCCAATCGATCTTCTTCTTTTTCTCTTCTCTGTACCCGCCCGCCGTGCACGACCTCGTGTTCGATCCGAGCCTGAGAACCCTAATCTCAATTCGTCGTCTCGTCTCGTCTCGCAGTTTTTTTTCTTGGCCTTCAATGCAAGGTTTTTCGTTGGCTTTGAGGTCAAAGAGATTTCCCATTTCTTTACTGATTGTTACAGTTGATCTGTGGTATCGGTGCTTTCCTCTCAGCTCGTATTCTTAGTTATTGCCGATTCATTTGGTCGGTCTTTTCGAGGTTGGGGCTTGAGTCCCCTGGGAACTGTGAGGGCTTGGATTTTCTTTCTGGATTGGGGGACGATGGATACGAGCCGACGGGCCGTGGAATCTTATTGGAGATCTCGCATGATAGATGGAGTGACTGTGGATGAGGATAAGATCGCGCCCGTCTATAAACTCGAGGAGATCTGTGAGCTCCTGCGGACTTCTCACGCGAGCATCGTTAAGGAGGTTTCGGAATTCATCCTTAAGCGGCTTGAGCATAAGAGTCCTATTGTCAAACAAAAGGTATACAGTTTTCACTGATTTAGAAGTCTGTTTTCATGATTTGCTTTGTTATGAGAATTTGCGTTTTCTCTGTGATTGTTATTAGTTATTTAGAGTGGTGATGCGTTGTAAATCACGAAGTACATGAAAAGATGCCTTCTGGTTCAGATTTCTCTAGAAACTATCTACTATTGAAGCTATGCACAAAATTGTAGAGTTAGGACGCATTTTTTGATACTTGGAGTTACACTGAATGCTTCTGCCAGTTTGTTTGGCCTAAGATATTCTTCATATAATAAACTTGCATTCTATTTCTCATATTATATACTTTTCTAGATTTGCTTGTGAATCCTCTGAAGAAATTTTTGATCATTCGATATGGTATGTTGGGGAACATTCATTACAAGAAGTAAAGATTGCAGTTTCTTTGAATTATTTTGATGTTGTTTCCATTGAACTTATAACAGGCTCTAAGACTTGTCAAGTATGCTGTGGTGAAATCTGGAGCAGAGTTCAGGAGGGAAATGCAACGGAATTCAGCTGCAGTGCGCCAACTGCTTCATTACAAGGGAAATTTGGATCCGTTGAAAGGGGATGCTCTTAACAAGGCTGTTCGTGATACAGCTCAGGAAGCTATTTCTGCCCTCTTTTCTTCTGATGATAATAAAGCAGCAGCTGCTCCAGCTGAAAGCATCAATAAGCGAATTGAAGGTTTTGGTAATACAAATTATGAGGTGCCAACAGAGGAGAAGAAATCTTTTCTCAGTGAAGTGGTGGGCCTTGGAAGTGCCTCTATCATTCAGGGAATAACCTCTCTTGCCGTTTCCCATGCATTGAAAAAGAATGATAGTGGGACTTACAGAAGCCCTAATCTGCGGAGGTCTCTAACCACAGAAATAGATAGCAGGGATACATATGAACCAGTAGATGAGCATCATGGTGAAAAGCGGCAGCCATCTGTATCATTAAGGAGTGCAGCTTCTGGTAGTTGGAATCCAGATTCAAGAAATAACTTGATGAGTACATCAGTTAATGATGAGAATAGTTCTAGTCACATGGTGGTTAAGAGTCGTGAGGAGAGGCTTTTGGAGACAATTGTTTCCTCAGGAGGTGTCCGGCTTCAACCTACTCGGGATGCACTTCAGGCATTTCTTGCAGAAGCATCAAAATTGGACCCACTTGCTATGTCCCGCGCAATTGAAATGAAGCTTCAATCTCATCTGTGGCAGGCAAGTTACAGTGATCATCATCATCATTATGGTTATCGATTTACATCTTTCTTTTTATTTTATTCTGTTACATTGGCAGTTTGGTGTGAAACATTTTTTTCATTCTCAATATCATGCATTTGCTGTCATATAGTTGACCCTAATGGGGCTTGATGGGAGTCTGAAAATGATTTATTGGATTTATTATGTCATCTTACCAAGTTCCTTTGGTGCATGTACTTCTATAAATGGCACAAATGAGGGTTTATCTCACCACTTTAGTCTAAAAGGAAAAGCATTTCTGAAAGCTTTTCAGCTATTGCCTATTGTGTATATGCGCAAACTAATTTTAGTGTTTTTGTTGAAAACTAGTTCAAACTCAGTGTAAAAATTTGAGATAACATGATATGAGAAAGTGCAGCGTATACATTTTCTTCTTGCACGGTCTAGAAAAAATTTCATATTTAACTACTACAATTTGTTGCCAAACATGCATATGCTTTTATATATTTAACACTATTGGTGATTGACGAGGAGTCAGAGGAAGATTTATTGGATGTATTATATCATTTTACAAAGTTACTTTGGTTCATTTACTTATATAAATGGATTAAACAAAGGATTCCCTATCCTCTATCCAGCCTAAAAGGAAGAAATTTCTGAATACTTTGCAGCTAATATAACTTCTTGTACGCACACAAAAGTAATTCAAATATTTATGTCATCAACTAGTTCGAAGTTAGAGTAAATGAACGAGGGAACATGTAGGGAATAATTAGTGCACTTAAATTTGCTTCTTGAGCTTTGTAGAAAATTGTGCATATTTAACATTTTTTCCAAATTGCCAAGTTATCTCTTTGGAACAACAACAACAACAACACATTTACAAACTAATTTTTTCTTTAAATTAACATTTAATGTGTATGTCACCCTAACATGCTCAATGCTTATTGCACATTTCTTTTACTTTTTCATTTCATTGCATTTTTCTCTTGTAGTTGCAAAATGCGTATTTGAGGATGACTGGCGGGAGTATTGAAATATCTTTCTGATGCACGCTTACCTGTTTTCCATGTTTTCCTAAAAAACTATCTGTCTTTTAAAATTTATTGTAAATTAGAAGATAGATTGGGTCATTCAATTTTTAGTGTTTGTTCTATATAACATTGATGTTTAATGTGAAGATAAATGGATGAGAAAGTTCATTGATAAATAATTAAAAAACAAAGAGATGGAACCAATAAGGGAAATTGTGCTTGTAATTAAACTATTATGCTATTGGGAAAGATATTGGAGCTATGTATGTTATTTTACGTAAAGTAACCGTAGAAATAATAAGCAGAGGAAATGAAGTTTTAATCATTGCCTATATTTTCTCATTCCCTTAGGGTAATGTTTTATTGGATTTCATTTTTATTGTTAAACTACTATCTTGCTTTTATCAATTAGGTTTTCTACTGTTATTGTTTGGTTTTATTTGATGGATTAGTGGAATAGAAAGAGTAGATATGGGTCCCGTTCTATAGCTTTTTTCATTCATATGCATAAGCATGTGGCAATATGCAAATTCATCAGACTATGCAAGTGTTTGTTTGAGATAGTCTGGTTATATCATTGGATTGTAGTTCTTTTTTTGTAAAGAGCTTATTTTAAAGTTGTATGTTATCTAAAAGATGTATATTGTTTCCTAATGTAATAAGAGAGAATCAAGATGATAACATGCCATTTGGAGACTAAGAGTCATGTGAGTCACCCCCTTCCCCTTTTTGTAGTTGTTTTGTGCAAACTGATAAGGTTGAGAAAACTGTTGGATTCACCCCCACCCACTAGGGCCTACGTAGCTTGACCTGTCGGTCGCAAAGGACTTTGTGCCTAGGAGTTATCAGACTCATCTAGTGCCCAATTATCCATCTGCTCAAGAGGTGGCAGCAAGACTTATTGCCATTAGTTGATTCCTTAAGTTGTCAATCAATTTCCACACATATACCATAGGAGAAACGTAAATTCAATCAAAAAGAAATTTAAATACCTTAAATGCTTCAAATTTTAAATTAATAGCCATAGTTGTCATTATACACTTTAGTTGGCTTCTTATAAGGATCAATATTACGTAAAGAAAAAAGAAAAAGAAACATATTAAGTTACCTTGAAGCCTATCAGACTTAGCGGATGCTAGATCACACTATGCGTGTTATGTCATTGACTAACATTTTTGCTGGCTAACCAATGTTTGACTAAGTCAAACTTTTAATTGAGCTTAAGCTTACAATGAGCTTAATCAAGTTTGAGCCATAGTTTAATACATCGAGTTAAGCTTGAATCAGGGTTGACTTGTGCTAAACTCTTCTTGATTACTTCCCTAGTTGGTAGTAAAAGGTAAACCCAATAAAATTCTTTCACCATATTGTGTGGTTTTGGTTAGTCTATGATGGTGACAACTTTTTTATTTGACAAAAAATGTCATCAACACTAACCACATACCTCAAGAAGATGCGGTCATGCCAGAAGAATATTTTTAAAATTGGTATATAATTTGTGCTCTTAGAGGATGGTCAAGAGGGTGCCCAAATGCGCCTTGTATGTTGTTTTGTTAACTTGCAACTCAATTATTGTCAGGGCTATATGGTGACTTTGAGATGCACTTCACCTCATAGAAGACATTTATTGGTAAATCAAAGTCTTGATTTGATGTCATCGTGGTAGACGAAAAGCAACATGGCCTACTCATTTTTTTGGCTCCAGATCGTTGGTATCCAATATCTCTCTTTAGAATATTATGACAAAGCTCCTTAGCAATTCACCAGGCTTCTAGTTCAGCTTTAAAAGAGCTTGCAAGCTCTTGAGTGGCTTTTGGGCAATTGCGAATTATTTAATGAACATCTTCTTGAATTCAAAAAAGATGTGATGACACTTAACAGTAGGCACGAAATTAATTGTAGGATATTCTTTAAAAGTGTTGAAGAGCAATCGACACCTTAGTGCATCATTGATGTCCATTAATGAGGTTGCTGACAAAATAAGTAATGTGATCGACAACATCGGACCTTCCTCGATATGATTCCAGGTGGAGCATCTTGAATTTTGCGAGTGGCTTCACCTCTACAATTTCCCTGAAAAATACGTAGCTCAGCTCCTACTCCCTCTGTATTCACCTGGGGGATGTGTATTTCTTCATCATTGGTGTGTTTATGTCTGTGATTAGCAACATGTGTTGAGGTTAGTGCCCTAGCATTGGGCCATCTTCGACAAGTTGTCAAGATAGAGGATCATTTGGGGGTGCTCTCTCTTGTAGTTTTTCTCTAAACTCATCCTAACACTTCTTAAATTATCTTTGTGTTTCTCTCTTCCTTTTCTATTAGATCATGGTGGATTGTGAAGTTCTTGTTTTTCATGGTGTGACTCCTAGTTTTGTTGCTCTTTTGCATAATGCCTATTGTCTGGTCACTAATATCAATCCACGCTCACTATCTTAGAGGATGGATTTAAATTTGCCCATGGGCTATATTTTACCCTACAAACAGGTTTAACTACCTAAAACAAGAGATTAGGGTTAGGGAATCAATGAATATGGATGATGGATGTGAGGTTAAGTGATCTTTATGAATGGGAAAAATGGCATAACGTCCAAAACACATGTCTCTTAACTTTTTTATTTATAAGGTTTGGAGGGCTATGTGAAAAAGTAAACCTAAAGAAATAGTACATGATATGATAAGTATAAACTGCATTGACATTTGGGTTAGGTTGAAAGGTGTGCATGTGGATTCTTTGTTTCTGATGTGGCTTGGGGGAGCCCTTAGCAAGTACCTTTGACGAGTATTCAGGGGTGAGTATCTTGGACAAGTATTCAGGGGTGAGTATCTTGGACAAGTATTCAGGGGTGAGTATCTTGAACAAGTCTATGAATGGGAGTTCCTCAAGGTGAGCAGTGAGTTTCCGTGATGAATTTATTTGTGATTCGGGGATGAACATAGTTGATGGAGTCATAACCATGGGCTCTATAGATGTGTGCCACATGTAGCTTGGGCTAGGACATTCGCGGAAGACGGATGGCCTTAGCTAAGGAAAACTACCAAGAGAGTTGAATCCCTCTGGGGCGAGTGCCCTAGGGTGATGGCTTGTCAATTTGAGTCCTTTAGATGAACACACCAGGAGTAACCAAGTCCCTGCATTGATCCTTCAGGGGCAAGCTTGTATGTTTCAAACTCCAATAGGACGAATAGCTATTCTCTCGTTGCTAATTCTGGTGATTGCCCCTCAAGGCATCACTTTTGGGCAAGTGCTCCTCTTGGCCTTGTCCCTTGGGTGTGAATCTGTTTATATAATTGTGATAGGAAACAATAGGGAAAAACAGAAATTAATCGCTAAAATCAGAATTTCAACGGTTTAATCAAGCAGATTTTTAGGTTTTTATGGAAGGAAATATAAGAAAAACTAGGGGTGTCAATTTTTGACACTACCCGAACCCGACCCAGAAAAATCCGGGTTAGGGTCAACCCGGACCCAAAACAAGTCGGGTTCGGGTTCAACAAATCAACCCGTTTAAAAAATCCGGTCGGGTTCAGGTTGACCCAGCAACTAGAAATTGTTACGAAAACTCGTATTTGACCCGAAAACTCGAGATTGACCCGTTTTGACCAAAAAATTGAAGATAGACCCGATTTTTGACCCGAAATCTATCAATTTTGGTCAACTCCAGGTCATTCGTGTCGGTTCGGGTTGACCCGGACTTGAATGGGGTTAGGTTCGGGTCCGTAGACTTGACCCATTTTTTAAAATGGGTTGGGTTCGGGTTGACCTGAATAGTGCCGGGTCAATTTCAGGTTCGACCCGAACCCGACCCGTTGACCCGAATTGACACCCCTAAGAAAAACACTCTTGATTGCTAGAAGATGAAAGAAAATAGCTTGATACAAACGATCCTCTATTCGAGAGGAGGATCAATCTCTCCAAAACTCTCTAGACGCCGCTAGAACCCGAGAACACCAAAGAGCACTAAAAAAATTAGCCACCAAAAAGATGCCCTAACCCTAATACAAACTCCTAATTAAAGAAATCATATAATTAACCCAAAAGGACTAAACAGCCCCCCCTCCCCTTCTCTCTTCCCTAAACCGTGGACCCCACCCTCAATGGGGCGGAAATTTGAGCTTGCGGCCATGCAGACTTTTGCCTGCTATTTGGCCGGCTGGACCGGTCTGGGTGTATCAAATTGTTAGTTACTACACGGGCATGTGTGTACATACAAAACTTGTTGCAACCATATTGCCTCATGGCATTTTTCTATAAATGACTAGGTCATATAGATTCATCACTAATCATTAGCTTAATGTTGATCAAAACATGGATAAATATTCCATACGTCCTTGCTGCTCAGTTAATCTTTTACTATAGGTTCAATTACTATTGAAAACATTAAGACGGAAACAAAAAGTTCTCAGTGAAACAAGTGGCTAAAATCTGTGTTCTCTCTTTTATTCTTATTAACTCAAGGGCCCATATCATATACCTTTCCTCCCATTGCTCAGGGCTACATCTACACTGGAAGCATTGCAGGGCTCCTTGAAGATCTTACCTGCTATGAGCCCACTGGCGCAGAGTATAGTACTTTTTATTCTACTGATGAAAACACAAGAGAAGTGGAGGAAAAACCGCTGACATTACATCAGTATCACTTAGATGATTTAAATGATAACTGATTGAGCTCATTTGTTATATAGAAGATAACTTTTGAACCTATTTGAATGTTTTCAAGAGTAATGGACCTATTTGAAATATCATTCAAAGGTTAATCACCCAATTTAATTTACCCTTTATAAATTGTCATTGGCATCTTGCTTAGAAGATCTTTTATGATGCAACGTCAATACTATTTCGGAAGGAAATTTTTTTCTTCTTCTAAATGAAAGGTGTATGTTTGATTCTGATGAAGCGACATGTTTTAGAGGATATGATTTTTTCCAGGATAAAGAATCTAAGAAGTTGGAGCTAAGCATGGGAACTCCTGACAAAACTTGGTGGACAAAGAGAATAGCAGAGGAAATATCTTTATGCTTCGCCTTGTAATGATTTCTGGTGGTTTAAACTTGAGAATTTTCATGTTGGTATTAAGTATCCTAATTATGAGAATACTGCTAGCCAGCTTTATTTTAATGTTTTTCCAACTTCATCAAAATGCTATATTGTATACATGGAATACTACTTTTTAGGATTAGAACAATATAACATATGAGTTTTTCATTGTTTGAATTATGAATTTATACTTGAGGTTTTGCTAGAAATTCTGTTATAATTTTCAAGCCATGTTGCAACTATTATGTCATGTATCTTGTTGATTATTTATATGAATTACCAGTGGTGATGTGAAGAGCGTATTTGTCTGGACTTTTAGCAGTTCTATGAAGAAATGAATGCTTGTTTTCTGTAAGAAGATACCTTCTGTGGCATGATATTACCTATTTTGTCATTCTATATTTAGGATGTCAGTTATTACTATATTTAGGTTTTCTTATTAGTATTTTTTGAAGTAATAATATGGATTATAATACGTCATAATTATAAGTAGAATTGCTAAAAGTCTTTTTTTTTTCCTGCTTGATTTTTAGGTCCGAATGAAGGCAATCTGTGTCCTGGAATCAATTTTGAGGAAGCAGGATGACGATTATTGTTCTATTATCGAATCTTACTTCAGTGAAAATAATGATGCTGTGGTTAAATGCTGCGAATTACCCCAAGCTTCACTGCGGGAAAAGGCAAACAAGGTAATTATCATAATGTTTGGTCTAATCATCCATTTATAGTGTTTCCCTACTTTTTCTATCGTTACTACATGTAGTTCTTTTTTTTTATATTTTAGAATTTGAGCTTTGCTGTTTGCGTCACTATTTTGATAGAATTAGATTATTCGTATGATTATTGTCCTTCACAAACCGTCACTAGTACATCAGTTCATTACATCCTACAAAAGAAAAGGTCGCCTTGTTATCTTTTGTAAAGCATGTGTTCTTGGCTGTTTTTCTACGCATTTATCCCTAAAACAAAAAGTCTCCATAACCTTGAAAAGTGGACCTTATTATTTGATTATAGTGTGAATATGTTGCTTGGTTTGTATGGTCAGTTGCTGAAGCAGTAGAATCAAGGACCAGATTCTGACTTTCTAGCCCGTATAGTCAGTTGTTGAAGCAGTAGAATTGAGGACCAGATTCAACTTTCTTGCCCGTAGGTATAATAAATAACCTAAAGTAGTGGCCCCCCCATCTCTCTCTCTCTCTCTCTCTCTCTCTTAATCTAAAAGTTTGTTTTTAATGACTTAGTTGATCAGGCTAGATTGGTGCTACCATAGTTGTGGAAGATTTTTCTAGGCGCACACTCACATCCATGTACCTCATTTCTACGCATGCACTATATATTTCAATTGCACGCATCTACTAGGAGAATCTCCATTCTCCATGAGCGGGCCCCCTCTCCCCCATAACCATAATGAATGTTTTTTTTTTAAATTGAAGGAGAATCTTCATTCTCCACTTTAGTTAGTTTTGATATTATGACCTTCAAATGTGAGTTAAGGTTCCTTGTGTTTACACCATTAAAACTTTGGGGATGCAAGGCAGTCCTTTTATGATTAATTGATCATCAAGTGTATGGGACTGTATGCATAAAAAAATTTAAAATAGATGGCTTTGATACATGATAAGATGATTTTGATTTCAAGGCTTATTGTCTTTCAAACGGCTTAGAATTAGGTACATGTGTTCTTGATGATGTATTGTATGTATTTGTTACTTTTGATAGGTGAAATTCGAGGATGAACCTATGCTTATAAAATGGCTTCTATATGGCATATGATAGTCTTTATATGTTGAACATGTTTGATGGATAATTAAGTCATCACAGAAATTGATTAAGATCAATACACATGTAATTTTTATTTTGTAAATTACGAACAATAGAGTGTTCTTGATTTGAAATTTTTATTAAATGGTAGATTAAAAAAATTTAAGAAGAGAATAATCATTGTCCTTGTAGGAGGAGAGAAGTCCATCTCATATACACACGAACAAACACACATGTAAAAAATGATAGGTTTTGCTTGTTGACAATTCCTTCATGTAAGAAGGTGATAGGAAACACTTGTAGAACTCAAGTGGGAACTTATCAATTAAGGAATTGTAGCGATATCTAGCCACAATCTCTAAACAAATAAAAAAACAGCAATAATAACGCAGTAATTGATGAAATCGGAAGGAAAATACCCAGATACAATTGATCCTCAATTCGAGAGGAGGATCTATCTCTTTCAATTCTCTAGACGCCGCTAGAGCTTAAGAACGCCAAGCAGCAATAGAAATTCAGCAATTCCCATATAACCTAAAGTCTAATCCCCTATTTCTACTTAAAGCAAACAAAATAACAAAGTAAATTGCTAAACAACCCATGTAAATCTAATTCCTGCCCTAGCCACCCCCTCCTTCCTCACCAAAATCAAATAGTGGGCTCCCAAAGGGGGTCGACTGTAGCATAGTCGAACCCTTGGTTCGCCTAGAGTACACACGGGTTGGCCCTTTGCCTAGGGCCGGCTGGACCGGTCTAGCATGGACTTGTCTAACAATACTCCCCTCTCAAAGAATCACCTTGTTCTCAAGGTGAAATGACGAAAACTGGTGCTTCACTCTCTCATATAGCTTCCACGTGACTTTGTAGTCTGGTAGGTTCTTCCATTTAATTAGAACATCCTTAGTCCCTTCTTCTCCCTGACGAACCCTGCTCAACTCCATTGATTCTAATACCACCTCCAAATCCTCTGTCAATGTCACCAATAACTCTGAACTAGTTGCATGATCCCCCATCGCTCTCCTCAAATGTGACACGTGGAACATTGGATGTATAGTCAACATCGAGGGTAATCTCAAACGATATGCTACTGATCCATTCCTTTCCAATACCTCATATAGGCCAAAGTACCTTGGGACAAGCTTTCTCATTTCTCCTGTTGGCTGCCATCCACTGTCTGTATGGTCATAGCTTAAAGAACACCCTCTCTAATTGTAGGCGTATTTAATGATGAGACAATATGCTGAAGTTAAATACATAAAAGGAAAGAAAAATGATACACGTGATTTCTTAGTCATAGGATTATACTATTATAGGATTAAGATATATGTCTATATGTGATATATATATAACTTGCTAGCTTAATCTTGATAGATTTTTACAACAACACTCAAGCCATATCAATTATATTAATTTACACCAAAGCTATCAAAACTAAATCCAAACCTAATATATAAGGATGTATATATCGACTACCATGATATGACTATCATGACATGACTCATTTCTTAGTTCTTAGGGTTTTATATGATCAACTGGATCCTCCCTTACCTCCCTAGTTTACTTTAGATTATCTTAGATAGACTTGACTTTGCCATCTCAAATAAATCTTAGGTGACTTTAACCACCTTAGGTACAAAAAACATTTTGAATTTGCTTATATATAGCTTGTTCTTGAAGCTATATGTAATCATGAATTTGTGTCCACTATTGATGGTGGATTCTTATTTGTGGTGTTCCTTGGATTACATTATAGGAAGTGCAAAAAATATGCCTTAGTTTACTTGTTGAATACCATATGCTAAATTTGTTGGAGTAGTTGAGTTCGGGTTTTGCAGCATTTTTAAAAATTTTGGTTTATGTAGCAGTTGCAACTATATGCTCCTGTAGTGATCATTTTTTATTATTTGCTCTTTGATTCCTGTAGTTTTTTTGCTTCGTTATAAATCATATCGTTGGTTTTGAGCATTGCTACAACTTCTTATACTCTACAATTTTGTTTAGGATTGTGGTAATTTTGGTTATGCTTTCTAAATTCACTTTAATTGTTGGGCTTAAATTCCACAAGATTTCTGGTGTTCTTTATAATTTGTGACTAACTTTGTGTTAATTGAGTCATGGGTTTTCAAAAACTATTGGACTTTATTTAGTATTGAGAGGACAAACTACTTTGGGATGAGTTGTTTATCAGTACGAGATAACGTTACATGAAAATTAGTTTAAAAAAAAAAAAATTCTAGTTTTTACTTTCAATCCTGTCAGTGCCTTTTGGACGTGGCATTTCTTTGAGTGTGGTGTCCTGGCAATAATCAATTTTGGGGGACATTATCTCTATGAATCATTGCAAGGTTGGGATTTTATACTTTAGTAAATGCTTTCCTCTTCTCTTCTCTTCTAAATATTTTTTTTTTTCTGTGTTGCAAGTTCTGTTTTAGCCAGATTAGCTTAAACTTGGGTTTCAATGTAGTGTAAAAATTCAAATTTTCATATGTTTATTCTGGATTAGATTTATTGTTGATCATCATCATTTGTTTTCAATTTTTTGTTTTTTCAAATATTCTTAAAGAAATTGAATTTGTATAATTAATGATATATGTGAATCCTAATTTCTTTTATGTGATTACATTCATTATATCATTTTAGTTGAACATCCTTAACCTTCCTACATCAAACATTCTGGTATGGATGATGCCACTATCTAGGTCTCGCCCTCACTTTTCCTACCAACCAAAAAGGCAATGAAGTTTTGATGGCTTGATGCTCAATTATTAGGTGCATTGATTTAAGGAACATCGCGCAAATCTTTTGTCCATTAGCCTATATTATACTTTGTTATTTCCTATTTATATTTGATTATTATTATTATTATTATTTGTTGACCTTTATGCATTATCCAAAATAAACAAAAAAATTTTCACTTACCTGTTATACAACACCGGTTGCACACTCTGCAAATTCCGCCAAAAATCCCGCTCCGTATCTCGTATCTCGTATCCTTCGAAGGCTTGGTCAAATCCCGGACACCTCGCTGCCACCTCGGGATACCTGTGCAAAGCAAGCGATCACTTGCTCCTTGGCATCGTTAAAATGAGGGGGAAGTCTTAGCTCACTCGGTTGTTCTCTTCCCCATTCGCTACCTCCCTTCGTCCCTGCATACAAATCCCGAACTCCCTTCCTCCTCCGACCTCCACACCATCAATCGACCCCGGCTACAGACGCAAGACTCCTCCTTCCCTTCCGATCTATTCCCATCTACCCACTGTAATCCCGATCGAAGGCCATCTCGCCTCTAAGAACAACGCCAGCCCCGACCTCATCACCTCAAAATCTCAGCCGAATCCTTCCTCAAGACCCTACTTCCATCCATATCCAAAACCAGAGCCGCTGCCCTCTCCATTGCCTCCGACCTCCAGGCCGAACCCAGCTAGCCCTTACCTTCCCATATATGAACCGAACCCTAGCCCAGCCCGATCTCATGGTTCCTTCGGTTAAGAGAGAGAGAGAGAGAGAGAGAGAAGAAGAAGAAGAAGAAGAAGAAGCTTTCTCTCTACCTTGATCTTCCTCCAGCCTTCAAATCAAACTCCTTCCTCTGCTCTTACCCAATTTCTCTCTTTCTCTATAGGTAGTTTACTTCTCCCTCTATCTCTATCTTCGTGTGTGTGTGTATATATATGTCTGTGTGTGTTATTATATAATATATTTATTATATATACATAATTCTTTCTTAAAAAAAAAGAATTTATTGTGTAAAAAAGAGAGGAAATTTTACAAACTTGGGAAAATCCATCTCGGTGCTTGCAACGCGGCGAACAACCACCCATGCGTGCTTTTCTTAGCACGGTGGGAGGAAGTTTATCGCGGTGCTTGTGGCGAGGCGGGTAATCCCCTCCAAAAGTCATATTTTTGGCGTTTGCAACGCATCGAGGGATCC